TTTTATCAAGGTGAAAAGCCTTTGCTCTTCAAAGGATAGGTCAGAAATTGGAAGAAAATATTTATGATACACATCTGATAAAAGACTATATCCAGAATAAGTAAAGAACTCTGGGAATTCAACATAATCAAAAATAAAATATTAATGATGAGATTTGAATAGACACTTCACACACAAAAATTCAAATGGTCAACAGCCACATGAAAAAATGCTCAAGAACATTCATGATCAGGAAAATGCAAAAAAAAAAAACCCTACAATTAAATAAAATTATACAATCACATAATGACTAAAATTAAATAATTTAGCACAATATCAAGCATTGGCAAGGATGTAGAACAATGAGATCTTTCCTACTGGGGATTGAACCCAGGGTCTTGYGCATGTTAGGAAAGTACTCTACCACTGAGCCACACCCCCAGCTCAGTTACTTGAACTCATATATTGATATTGTCGGTGTAAAACTGTACTTTTGAAAATAGGGTAGAAACTTATTATAGAGCTAAAAGTACATCCAAACCATTCTACTCCTAGCTATTTTCCAGGAAAAAAAATTAAAGTATCTGTTAACTCAAAGACTTTTTTTAATGCTCATAGCACCTTGCCTTGTATTTGTTTATAMATGGACAAACTGGAAATAACCCAAATCGTCCAGAGATGTGTGGTGAATGGATAAAGAAAGTGAGGCATGTCCAAACAATGGAATGCTACTTTAGCAATTTAAAAAGGAATGAATTACATTTTGCTGGCTGAAAAAAACAAACCCCAAAGACATGTATGTCTTTTATGTGAATTTCTAGAAAAGGCCAGTCAGACCTAGATAACAGAAAGTAAACATGTTGTTGCTTGAAACTGGGAAAGAAAGTGAAGCTGGAGTAGGTTCAATGGGGATGGGGCACAGAAGAATTGGGGGAAATAGTAGAATTGCTTTGAATTTGCTTTACATCTTGTTCATGATGGTGGTTACACAGGTGCATAGATGGTCAAAACTCATCAAAATATATTCTTAAAAGCATAAAGTAACTAGGAAAATAAATAACAAAAGATAGTTCTGATCTTCATGAGGGAATAAAACCCTACAAACCTATATTGAAAGACATGAAGAAAAAGTAAATTAAATGATATATTAAGATCATATGATGCAATACCACTCTACTAAGAATCGATTTCCCCAGCTTTCCACTAAGTTACTGAAAGGGGCTTGGAAATAAACCCTGGRACCATTAAAAATGACCGTTTCTCCGTGCAGAGGTCAATGTGGATCATCATGAGGAAGCAACTGACCAGCTCAGGAGCTGTCTGCATACATTAGAGGAAGGACCTTGACTATGGAAGTCTAGGAGGACGGGGACAATAGCAAAAAAAAAAAGAAAAAAGAAAAAGAAAAAGTGGAGGATTCCATGGAAGACACTGAGATACGTGAGGGGAGATTCTGATCAGTGTAGAAGGGGGTTCCAAGGGGGAGGGATGGGGCAAGAAGTTCTCCTCCACCTGTCTCCAATATCAGTGCTTCTCCATGTCAGCAAAATCTTTTGGAAACAAGAATCAACCAACCTAGGTGCCCTTCAACCGATGARTGGATAAAGAAAATGTRTATGTATGCACGATGGYTTATTACTCAGCCATAGAAAAGAATGACTTTATGACTTTTGCTGGTAAATGGATAAAACTGGAGACATAAGAGAAACTTAAAAACCAAGGGCTGAATGTTCTCTCTAATATGTGGGTGCTAACACATAACAAAGGCAAGGAGAATATATGTTCATTGCATTAGACAAAGGGGAATGAAGGGGGTGGAAATAGGAAAGACAGAGAGTGAATTAAACTTTCCTATGTTCATATATGAAACACCACCAGTGAAACTCCACATCATGTACCACTTCAAGAATGGGCTCCATGTATGTATAATATGTCAAAATATACTCTACTGCCATGTGTATATAAAAACAACAACAAAAAGAAACAAGGATCAAATTCTARCTGCTTTGGATGGAGGAAGGAAGGTTCAGCTCCTTGGAAAGAAGCTGGACTCTGGGCCCAAGAATATTATAGACTAATAAGATTTGGAAGACACTCTAAAAGAGTATCTGAAGAATGCTAGCCTAACGAGGAAGCTGAAAGATGAAGCAGCCGCAGTCAATGGTCAAACAAGACTGAGAAGGAGGCTGTGGTTACCAAGGGGCAGGAGAGCCTTAAAGGATCTGGGTGCAGTTGACAATGGAGAAAAGCAAAAATGAAAATGTCAGTGACCACAAAACAGGAGTTGTTGGAGTTCACTGGGAAGTGGTTAAAAGGTATTCCAAGGAGCCAGGAGTGAAAGACTCGACAGCTGACCAGGTGAGAGAGCAGGGCACCAGGCACTATTGAATGAGCATGAAGAACCAACCAGCATGGCTAATTGTGTCCATCAGCTCTGAAGACCTGACTGTGGGAAGGGAATGGAAGGAGCTTTAGACAGCACAGGCATTTTGTAAAGCATTTTACATTTGCTTTTATGCTCTCTGTTTTATCTTAAAATAGGAACATTCTCTAACACTCTGTGGGAACACCCACCTGATCCRCTGTAGGAAATGGTTCCTGTTTTGCTCTGAAATCCTCTTATTAGAGTGAAGGGGAAGCCGCTAACACCCTGGAATGAGGAAGCTGGTTTGCATAATCATAACCCACATCACCTGATACCAGGGATTTCCATCCACAGTGAACTTTGCCCAGGGAATAATAAAGTCATGAAAATTCATGAACTAACTTAACTCAAATAATGTGTAAGTAGACTTGAAGGGAAAACTTTTGTTTTCAGGTCTTGTTAAAGTGAGACAATTAGCACAGAAAATAAACAGAAGTGACTATTCGTTTATGGCTTTGAGCTTCAACCAAATCCACACTTGAAAAGATAAAGAGAGCAAAGGAGAAGTGAGGATTGCCAGTGGCCAGGTCTGAAACCAGAAGCAAGCCTGACCAGTGCATTTCTTTGTTCTTCCTTCTCTTTCTTTCTCACTTTTCCCTCTTTTCTCACTCCTTATGATTTTCTTTCTCTATTTCATCTTGCATTTCTCACACCTKGCCTTGGGCACTAGCAGACACTGTGAGTAATTTTATTCTTGGCTTTTCAAAATCAAAGGTTTAGTGAGGCTGGCAAATTATTTAACTGACTATCRTGATGGCAATGTGGTATGAAGAACTCTCATAAAGCTGATTTTGAAATCGCTGAGTTTCTGCAAATTGGAATAAGGATGTTGAAGAGGAAGAGCATGAAAGAAAGGAAGGAAAGAGAGAAAGAAATTTCCTAATGTCAAAAAGTATCTTACAGTTGTTATAACCATTGTACTAAGAATTTATTATTAACTCCCTCTGGTTGCATGTGTCTGTGCCCTGTATCACACTAGATTATTTTCCCTGAATATCCAGCACAATTGAGGTAGGTAAGTGAGAAAGTTGAGATGCAGAGAGATTGGTTAGTTGTGCAGATTCACAAGAACCAAAAAAAAAAAAATCATAGAGCCAGGAATGTATGTGTGAAAAACTCTATTCTTTCCATTTCAATATCATTTAAACTCCCCATTCTGTGTAAGGTACAAATATAACACCTGAAATGAAAATGCTGATAAGTCTCAGAATTCCAGAGTGCTTCCCAGGAAGAGTTCTGCATGTATACTTTCTCTTCACACACACAGACACACCACACACACACACACACAGAGAGAGAGAGAGAGAGAGAGAGACAGAGACAGAGACAGAGACAGAGATAATGGAACTTTTCAATATTATAGTCTTATACTTGAAATCTCAAATGATTCTTTACATCATATGTTTACATAGCTTTAAAACAAATGCACCTGCTATGATCTGAATATCTGCTTACCTCCAACTTCACATATTAAACTGAAACCCCTCAGGTGATATAAGGAGATGGGTTTTTCTTGGAGGTGGAGTCTTTTTAAATGTTATTAGTGTCCCTGTAAAACAGACCACAGAGAGACCSCTCCAGCCTTCCCCCATGTGAGGACACAGCTAGAAGGTGCGGTCTGTAAGGAATGAATCCTCACCAGACACCAAATTTGCTGGTTCCATAATCTTGAATTTCCTCAGTCTCTAGAAGACTGAGAAAAAAATGTGTATTTCTTATCAGCCATCTAGTTTATAATGTTTTGTTATAGCAGCCCAAATGGACCAAGATGGCAACTTTTATAACTATTTTAYAGTTGTGTCCAAAATTATCTGGGAACTTTTAGTTTTCTTCTTTTAACTGAAAGTTGAAAGAGATCTTATAATTTAATATCCACTTCATATTTAAATGCCATAGACTGTTAATACCAATGAGTATAGACATAATAAAACCTACATCTATGCCTAATAAATTCATACTATCATGAGCAACTAGTCACTTTTTTCCATTCTTTACTCCACCTGGGAGAACTTTCCAGAACATTCCAGATCCTTCACTTTAAGTATATTCACTTTGACCCTTCTCACTTGAAAATATCCCAATCCCCAATGCCAACTGATGCCACAGGCAACATCAGCATAATTCAGCATTGAGAGAATCAGAGAAGGCACCATACCTTCCCTGCAGTCCAGTTATGTGGCAAGACAGAGGAGAAAGAGCTGACTGATCTCAGCTGAAGACAGAATCCCAGTAGGTAGCTCAAAAATTGCTTGTTTGGGGGGACCCTTGGCACCAAAATGAAAAACTGACTAAGCAAATAATTTTGAAGTCAGAGTTTAATGGACAGAAAACAAACGATTGCATGCAAATGGAATTTGCTCATCAGCATTTGTTCTGAGTCTTGAAATAGAGCCCTGCTAACAGACACTAACCATTAGTTGGAGTCATTATTATGTAAAATTTGAATTTAATAAAACCAATTTTCTTTAAGTTCTAAATTCTGCACTTTCATAATCCCTGATCTGTCCCAAATTATTAAGGCTGTCCTAAGAGCAAGCTTTCTGCTATGTGCATCAACTTCCCAGGAATCTGTAAAGGACGTTTGTGTGTCTCTTACCGAAAATTGTGATCCATGGGCTCTTCAAAGCTGGAGTTCCTGCACTTTGACCCCGTGTTACAAAGAAGTCCTTGGACAAAGGGCATAACACCCCGACTGGGCAGATCACGGGGTTGCAAGTAACCTGAACACAGATGCAAGGAAGAAATGAGTCCATACACCTGCTACAAGAGGTGGAATACATATTAAGTTAGAATCGTAATTTGTAATATCAAATTATTAAATTATTAACCCTTTTATTAATTTGAAAGTTGCCTGAGGACTCCATTCAAAACCAAAAACTCTTTATACCAGACACCTCTCCCCTAGGGTCTACATACTTCTCTGTTCACAAGTGGCAACACCTCTGTTGAATAGCCAGTCCCCTCAGGCAAAGCCCCTTGCAAACTAGTCATAGATGGAAAGAATAAGAATAGATGTTTTTCCCATCTCATGTAAGTTAGGAATGTTAAAGTTTGGGCAAAAGTTCTGAGTTTAGTGCAAYTTGATTTCTGAAATGTTTATGTGTAGTTGTTAAATATCATATGATGCAAAATTGGTTTTCTTCACTGGATAGAATCAAAGACTTTCAAGACAAACATTGCTACAGTGAGCTAGCTTCCTTCATAAAGTACTGATCACACATTCCCCAATCCTACTGCCCTTCACTTCCTGGAAGGGTGGGAACAGTCATCTCCTGATGACTGCAGGCAACTTGGATGTCATATGCTGTAGCATATGAAACCCTGGTAACAGCCAGGAGTCTAGTTTGATCTGGGAGATTCTCTCACTTCCCAAGACATGGAGACATACTCTGCCTAGTATTGGGCATACTGTTTGCACATAGAGGACATTCACTAAATGTTTAATGATTGAATAAAAGAASAAACATGAATGAATGAATTAAAAATAAACTTTTGGACTTTTAAGCTAAGGGGAAAATGAACTTCTTAGCAGACTCATGGTTCAGTGTTATAGAACAGGAGACCTTAAAGATACTKAAGGTCATATCTCAGCAAGTAATAGAAGGTGCATTTCCCTAATATTACTTCTGTGTACCACCTCTCTCAAGAATGTGTCAAGAATGGCAGCCACCACAATGGAATATTGGGTCAGAGATTAAGGACTCTAGCCCTGACCCAAACATACTTGTTTCCTATGTGGATCCCCAACATGATACTTTTATCCTTGTAATGGTCTAGTCCTCCAGCAAGTTCTATAAAGGCAAAGGAATACCTGGTTCTCTGTCTTATTCTCAATAAGGCCTGGGACACAAAAGACACTATTTGCTAAATAAATAAAAAGGTTTATAAAATAGGAATTCTGCAAAACTTTTGAATGGAGATTGTCCCAACCTATAATACATAATACAGTCCTCAAACAACAAAGAACAACCAGGGATAGATATATAGATATATATATATATATATATATATATATATATATATATATATATATATATCTCCTAAATATAACACAAAACCTATTTTGGACAAATCCCCAATATTCAATAATCATTTATTCAAGAGAAATTTGCAGAGTTGACCACATTATATACATTTCAAGTGGCATAGTAAATGGAAACAGAGCAGGCCATTGTTTCTTAGGGGTTGTTGCTGTTGAGATTTCAAATCAGACAGACAAAATGGTCTGACAGATGTTCCCAGAGCCCAGAGAATTATTAGTGATGGTTTATCAGGACATCACCATCATATTTGCCATCATCATTGCAGTTTCCACCTAAACCATCACCATCAGTACCATGTGGTAAACTGAAATACACTTATTCCACTTTTCCTACATTTGAATGTCTTATATCCCTAGGTCCAAATTGATTCAGTTTAGTTTTAAGGATAAAGCTGTCTGCTAAATTGAGCAAATGTGTGACTATCATTTTTAATTWAAAAAAAATCCAAATTGCTGCTTACTGGCACATACTCCAGATGTATTGCTACTGTTAGAATGGAACACTCTCCATTTATTCCACTCAGAATTCAGCATTGATGAAGAAGAAAGGAATGAGTATCTCTTATTTCTCTGAAGGTTTGTAATCTAAAAATCATATTAAGTAAAACTTACAACTGTCTRTATGTCTGGGAGGTTCTTGGAAACGAAGTACTGTCAGAATCATGAACAGGATACAAGGCCAGAAGAATTCTGCGAGGGAAAGGACCTGAGGAAATATATATTGTTTAAAAAAAAAAAAGTGCTTGAATAAATTGCAAAGCATTACAACATTTCCACCTCTTGAAGGATGATTGACAATTCAGTTTTCCTTTTAAAGAAACTCATTGTCACTCCTACTACAACAACTACTGGGACAGAAATTCCATGATAGGCCCCAGTCCATTTGTCGTCTCATCCYGATCCATGACTATATCATCTCCTGGTCCTTCTCACACCAGGCCCAGCTTCTGGTTTTTCCAAATTCAATCAAGGAATATTTGTTTATGTTTAAATAATTTTTTTTCTCTTCAATGACTTTCTTGAAATTGGAATAAACTTTGAAAACTGTTAGAGTCAATTCCCTAGACACAGACAATCCAAAAGAGTTACCAAAAAAGAACTGTGATATTTGGTACAAAACTGAATTGTCAAAGAGAAGAGAAAAAGAAATGCCATTTTTGACACATGGAATGTGATTCTTGCTTTATTGATTACAGTACATATCATTTTTTTATTTATTTTATTTTTTTTTAGTTGTAAGTGGATCCAGTACCTTTATTTTATTTATTTACATGTGGTGCTAAGGATCAAATCCAAAGCCTCACACATGCTAGGGGAGCAATCCACTGCTGAGCGCTCCAGCCCAGTCCATATCATTTTATAAGTACAAAAGTGTACAGCCAAACACAAAACAGGCCAAGCATAGAATTAATTCATACAGCGACTTGGAAATCTGCAAGTTAAGGATGCTCAGTCAACCAAAGCAATGTGTCTTATTGTTTCGGACCCCAAGTTACAATGCTCTAAACTAACATGAACTTCTGGGCTCTCTGGCTCCTTTGCACCTTAAACTGCCATTGCTATCCCCCTCTCTGTAAAGTGCAGGCCGCAGATCTAAGTGTGAATGTGTGAGTGCGCTAGACMTAAAACTCAATCTCTGATGTAATTAAAGGAGAAAAAGAAATTTCCCTGTTTGAAATAGTGTATGAGGTGTTGGATCAGAAAATATAACATGATAAAAAGTTCTCTGGGCTGTACTGAAACCTAGTATCACACATTCTGATAACAGAAGATCTGGAGGAGGTCACCCTCTGGTTCAAGGGATCATGCTTAAAACTAGAAAGAAATGTCAGGAAYACTCAGAAGGCTGCAATTTATTCAAATCATTTGGTCATTCTCTGTAAGAATTTTTAAAATGTATTAAGAGGATTGGGGTCAAGAGGTGGTGGGGGAGGATTCTATAATTAATTCTGACTGAGTATAAATAGGCAATACAGAAAATGTACCTCATATTAAACAATGATTTGTTACCATGAAGGAAAAAAAATGATAATTTTTTTTCATTCATTTTCAATGACATTGATTGCTACTGTTAGAACAACGGGTTATAAAGAAATGGAAAAATCATTTGTAGACCTGAGACTCTTATAACAATTTTTATATTAGAAATAAATAAATACATATATGGTTAGAAAATTTTAAAAGTACAAAAAGTATACAAGCAATTGTTACCAAAAGCTGGGTCCTTGTCCCCAGTGCCAATCCAATAACAAGGACATGGTTTTGAGGAAAAGGAAAAAGCAGGCTGATTGCTTTGCTAGCAAGGAAGAAACACAGGGGGCTTCTGTCCCAAAGGCTGTACTTCTGCCCATCAGCAGGAAGGAAGGGAGTGGGCTTTTAAAGAGATGGCTCAAAGGCCACATTCCACATGTTCTCTGTCTGGAGATGTGATTCACTTGTCAATTTGGGGGACAGTCATTTCTGAGGTTTTCCAGTACTCCCCAAAGTCTGGATTACTTTGTTCCTAGGGTAGATGGTGCTCAAGGTCAGATAACTCTGCCTAGGATGGGGAAGATTCCCCTGAGATTGGGGAGGAGCAGGGAGGGAGAAAGAGAAAGAAACAGGTCCATTTAAAAAATAAGTTGTAGTGGCGGAGCAGCAAGGGTTTATTCAAAGCATAAAGTGGACCACTGTTACACAATCACCCAAAAGATGAATTATCTTAGCTTTCTTAATTGATTTAAGAACTATATATAAGCATAAGTAATACTTTCAGAAAGAATTTACATATCAAAACTTATGTATCTGCCTCACTGCTATTAAAGACAACTTAGTCTTCTATTATAGAATTATTTAACCAATTACCTAATTATGAAATTTGAATGGTTTTCTGTTTGGGGCCCACACTTTCATGAGTTTTCTTTACTTGTTTTGCTGACTTTTGTACATATATCTATGAGATAATATTACTAGACCAAAGTGTATGTAATTTTTAATCTGGATTTTTAGTCTGAATAGAAAAAACTAAAATTCCTTCATTAAAAACTAAATCAGGGGCTGGGGCTGGAGCTGGGGCTGAGCAGTAGTGCACTTGCCTGGCATGTGTGAGACACTGGGTTTGGTTCTCAGCACACATATAAATAAGTAAAATAAAGGACAAAGGTCTATCAACTATATATATATATATATATATATATATATATATATATAATAAATCCTCATTAATTCTGATCAAACTCTCAGTAGCACTTAAGGTTAAAAATCTTTTAATTTTCTCAAACTTTTATCAAACATATGCAAAAATAAATAACTTTTAATTATTGAGATCAATCATTTTTAAGAAGTATGTAATAATTCCTTATATAATACTCCCTGCTCTTCTAGGTACCCATTTTTCTATTAAATTGTTCTTTTTTTCTGACTTATAAATCATCATTTCTTGTCTTCTAATTAAATAATTTACACTTTTCTTAGCCTTAAGCAAATATTTTCTCTAATTTTTAATTTRCCTTTTTATTATCTAAACCTTTCATGCAATCAACTTTTTATCTTTGTATTTCTAGTGTCTTATTTATTTTCCCATATTCAAAGGCAATATAAGTTAAAGGAGCCTGCCAAATTAAAATAGCAGGAACCCTGAAGCTACAGTCAGTCTGAAAATCAATGACAAACTTCTAGTTTCGAACAACACGGTTTAAAAAAAAAAAAATACAGCTCTACATATTACCACTAAAGTTCCTCTGAGGATCTGAAATAAAAGTCTAATAATTACTTTGAAGGYTTGTTTTATTTTGTTTTGTTTTTTACAAGTTGGTCACTGACCCTTTTGAAAAACACAAGTGGGAAAATCTTCCATTGTTCTGAATTTGACACTACTCCATTAAAGAGAAAAGCATTCTGAAGGTGAGTTCTGCAGTGTCACTRTCCTTTGTGAGCAAGTGAATCACCTCCTTTCATTCGACTTTCTCTTTGGAAGCATGAAAGTAGCCTCTTTTTCTCATCACATTTTTACAGCATGGTTCTCTTCTCAGGTGTCATTATTATCCTTGGATCTTGTTTAACATTTCTAATCTTGCCGCTGTTTAATGGGAAGGATTTCTGATTAATTTTTAGGAGCTCTCTCTCCCCACTCCAGGCCCCAGTACTGACTTCTGAATCCAGATATCTGATCTAAGCGGAAACAAGGGCTTCAGTGCTGTTCACAGGCACCAGAGGCTGATGCTACCATGACTTCTGCTCTCAACAAAAGGAATCACCCATAGAACCTACTGGTGCTTACAAAGGACAATGGTCACCCTCTGAATAACTATGAAGCCCTCTATTCTTCCAGTAGGAGGGAAACTCCACAGCACAGTGAACGCCCCATTTACACCTGTGAGCTTCATGCCCCTGCACTACCTCTCACTGTGGCTTTCTCTTGAATACTATGACTCTGACCCACTCCCCATTCCTGTCATACCCCAGCCCAAATATCAATCGAAGCCTTTCCTTCAGCACTGTTGAGACCAGATGACATTCAGGGAGACYTTAGCAAAGCCATGCATTAAAACATGCATAGGTAAAGGACCTCAGATGGAATGACATATAAAAACTTCCTCACAGAATTTTCCTTCCCCCAGTCAAAATTAAGGGGGGAAGAGGAAAGAAATTAGAGGAGAGAGGGAGAAATTTGTCTTTGCCTGATAAGAGAAAAAAGAAAGAAAGAAATTACAAAGATGTCAAAAAAATAAGTTTCCAGAGCAGATCAGACAAAGCCCACATGATTCTTTTCCAATTTATCCCAGAGTCTCCAAAGCCATAATGATTGCCCACACAATGCTTGTGGCTATTCCCAGGACCCATGCCTATGGAGATAACATCCCACACCAGTCTCCCTAAAGCCTCTAACAGAAAAGCTAGAGAGAATGAGCAGACAAGAGTAGTGAGCACTGAAATTGATTCTTCCAGAGAAGCCTCAGCTACATATATAAATGTGAACTGAATCTACAGTGGGGAAAAACTTCCTCAAATGAATGGAAAGAACATAGTACGAAATATTTAACAAAATGGCAAAGGAGAGTGCAGAGCCCAACTAGACTGATAAAGGTTGTGTCCCACCTCAAATGGGTCCCCATTCATCTCCACTATCACCTGGACCTTCCTCCTGCCAAAGGAAAACAGCAGAGTATAGCAGGCTMGGGGATCACCCTAGAGACTGAAGAAGAAATCAGATGGGCCTCAGATTTATTGAAAAGAGTCAAGAACAAGTATCATACTTTGGCTGGGCTGCCCAAGTATGAGTCAGATTAAAAGAAATCAGAGCAGCTATCTCAACACACTATGGATAGAAACTAAGAACAGTGGAAGCCAAAGAAAATCATAGAGCATGACAGGAAAGAAACTCAAATAGGAAGAAGAATTCATAACTGCTTTGCAAAGAAGCATGATTTAACTAGAGCAAACAAAAAAAAAAAAAAAAACAAGAGTTCAAAAAAGATAAATGCAAAGAAAGGTTATGCATCTAAAGAAAAATAACAAAAATAATCACTATGAAATTTTAACTGATTTAGAAGACACAGAAAGATTTAGATTTGAAGTGCTGGAATAGAGCAGGGTGGAGATAGCAATAGTGATCTTTTAAAACATTTTTAAAGGCAAAAATATTCTCAGAAAACCCAATAGATTTGACAAGCAAAAACCATACAACATAAGGATAGTTGGCATTCCTAAAGCAGAGAATTCAACAAA